TCGCTCTTGTTACCCAGGCTGGAGTGCAATGGCGCGATCTCAGCTCACCGCAACCTCCGCCTCCTGGGTTCAGGCAATTCTCCTGCCTCAGCCTCCCAAGTAGCTGGGATTACAGTCACCCGCCACCATGCCCAGCTAATTTTTGTATTTTTAGTACACACAGGATTTTACCACGTTGGCCAGGCTGGTCTCAAACTCCTGACCTCAGGTGATTTGCCTGCCTCGGCCTCCCAAAGTGCTGGGATTACAAGCATGAGCCATCATGCCCAGCCAAGACCCCTTTTTTTAAAAAAAGAAGAAAGAAAGTAATTTGATAGTGGCTCACACCTATAATCCTAGCACTTTGGGAGGCCAAGGCAGGCGGATTGCCTTGCTTAGGAGTTCAGGGCCACCCTGGGCAACATGATGAAACCCTGTCTCTACTAAAATACAAAAGAAATTAGCCGGATGTGGTGGTGCATGCCTGTAGTCCCAGCTAGTTGGGAGGTTGAGGCAGGATAATTGCTTAAACTCAGAAGGCTTAAGTTTCAGTGAGCTGAGATCGCGCCACTGCACTCCAGCCTGGGTGACAGAGCGAGACTTATCTCTACGAAAAAAAAAAAAAAGGAAGTACTGTAGTTTGATAGATGTGTTATCCTTTCAGAGTCCAAGCCATCTTCCCAACACCTGATCCTGCAGCTCTAAAGGATCGCCGCATGGAAAACCTGGTAGCCTATGCTAAGAAAGTGGAAGGGGACATGTATGAGTCCGCCAACAGCAGGGTAGGTAGCTGCTCACCGTGCTCTGGCCTCTACTGCATCTGTAGTAGACAGCACTACATTTGTCTGGTTTATTATCTGGAAACAGTGGAATCTGTGTAGTTGGGAGACACATGAGGCCACTGGCCAAGGAGACTTCCCAGATAACACACAAATTTCCTGCACAACTCTCTTGGTTAGCTACATTGGTACATGGAGTATATAAATTTACATTATGTCCATAGGATATATTTTTCATATTAGGTGGTGTTGTATTATTGCTAGCATCAGTGAATATTCAAGAAGTTGATTTGAGTGAAATGGAACATGTCTTTAGTACCTACTATTTGACATGTCCTATAAAGTCATTGGGAATTGAGCAAGAGTGTGGGCTCCTGGTGCATCAGGTATTTGCATACTTTTGCCAGTGTACTCAGTGAAGAAGTTCATTAGTTAGAACCTACAACACAGATCATTCCATTGCTTTGTACAGTTTTAACTGCTTCATATTGAATATGATTGCTTTTAGGATGAATATTATCACTTACTAGCCGAGAAAATCTACAAGATACAAAAAGAACTAGAAGAAAAACGGAGGTCGCGTTTACATAAACAAGGCATCTTGGGGAACCAGCCAGCCTTACCAGCCCCAGGGGCTCAGCCCCCTGTGATTCCACAGGCACAACCTGTGAGACCCCCAAGTAAGGATTTCATTTCCTTCTGCCAATCATTAGCCCGTTTCCTTGGTTTTCCTTCATGTTTGGAGTGTATTTCTAAGAATAGAGGATTAGAGTCTTTGATGCGTGACCTATAGAAGCTGTTGATGTTGCAGTGGCCCTGACCACCTGCCTCAGGCCGTGCTGGGACTCTGAGTTTGTCTCTTGGGAAGGCCCTTTAAAGGGTGCACTGGCATTGGAACACAAGTGTTTTTGGACTTGTTGGCTGTTTTTCTCTTTAAGTTTGAAGCCCTAATAAGAAATTTCCTATTCCCGGCTGGACACGGTGGCTCACGCCTATAATCCCAGCACTTTGGGAGGCCGAGGCAGGTGGTTCATGAGGTCAGGCGTTCGAGACCAGCCTGGCCAATACGGTGAAACCCCATCTCTACTAAAAAATACAAAAATTATCCGGGCTTGGTGGTGCATGCCTGTAGTCCCAGCTACTCAGGAGGCTGAGGCAGAAGAATCACTTGAACCTGGGAAGCAGAGGTTGCTGTGAGCCGAGATCATACCATTGCATTCCAGCCTGGGCAACAGAGCAAGACTCCATCTCAAAGAAAAAGAAATTTCCTGTTCCTGAATCAAGGATTATATTAAATAACTATGGTGTTTTGTTTTTGTTTTTTTGTCACCATAGATGGACCCCTACCCCTTCCAGTGAATCGCATGCAAGTTTCTCAAGGTATTAACTATTTGCTGTGAATCATATTAACATTCAACAGCTATAACTTTTACTTTTTTTTTTTTTTCCTCTTCCCCTGTGTGTTTCTTTCTAGCCCTTTATTCTTTCCATTCCTTTTTTGCTGGTGGTCAGAATTCAGTTCTGCAGGTAGTATGCGTCTGTTTATAGTGTGGAGTTTGGAGATGATAGGAAATATCTTCCAAGAGATCAGAAGTAGTATTTAGCTTTTTATTTTTTTAATGGATGGTAGAGTGGATTTGGTACATTACTCAGGAAGAGTCTGAGAAAGAAGCACTGTAGATGCGGGGAGGAAGTCCTTCTGAATGCCGAGAAGGAGAAGCATGCAAGCCGGTCCTATACTGCTGAGCGCTTGCAGATGGTGAGGTGGTGACAGCAGGGGCTGCTCTTGGTCCTAGGGCTTAAACCCAGCTAGCTGGATGTCAACTTCTGGAGAGTTTGTACACACAGGTCCTGCACCAAGTTGGGGTGGCAGTAGCTGTCTCAGCAACCTTGAAATGTTCTTAAGTAGGGAGGCTATGGTTTTTTGTTGGTTGAAACAGCAATTTTTCTTTTGAGGTAGGCTGCATTTGAAAACCTTGTGGCTCTTGATCATTGAGACCCAAGCGGGAGGATATTTTCCCAGGTTGTGAAATAAGGTGGTGACATTATCCAGAAGACTCTGAGGAAGAAAGCTTTGCTTTGGCAAAGTAGTTTGGTGCTTTGGCACCAGTAGTTTGGGAGGGAGGGAAGAAGAGATCATTGTAAAAGTTTTATTCATATTGGATCCTGGAAAAGACATGGTAGATAGCTGATATTATAGAAAAAACTTATCAGGGACTTGTTTTGATGGACTAGATTTGAAGGGTGAAAGCAGTCAAGGAGTCTGGCCAGACATGGTGGCTCACACCTGTAATCCCAGCACTTTGGGAGGCCGAGGCGGGAGGATCACTTCAGGTTGGGAGTTTGAGACCAGCCTAGCCAACAAGGTGAAACCCCGTCTCTACTAAAAATACAAAAATTAGCCAGGTATGGTGGTGCACGCCTGTAATCCCAGCTATTCGGGGGGCTGAGATAGGAGAATTACTTGAACTCAGAAGGCAGAGGGTGCAGTGAGTAAAGATTGTACCACTGTACTCCAGCCTGGGCAACAAGAGCGAAACTGCATCTCAAAAAAAAAAAAAAAAAGGCCAGGCACGGTGGCTGATGCGTGTAATTCCAGCACTTTGAGAGGCCGATGTGGGTAGGTCACAGGGTCAGGAGTTTGAGACCAGCCTGGCCAACATAGTGAAACCCTGTCTTTACTAAAAATAAAAAATTAGGTGAGCATGGCAGCACATGCCTGTAGTCCCAGCTACTCAAGAGGCTGAGGCAGGGGAATTGCTTAAACCCAGGAGGTAGAGGTTGCAGTGAGCCAGATCGCACCACTGCACTCCAGCCTGGGCAACAGAGCAAGACTGTCTCCAAAAAAAAAAAAAGAAGGAAATGAAGGAGTCAGAGAAATTGAGCCTGAGGAAAGTGACTGGATGCTGTGTTGGGGATTGGTCCAGGGCTTCGGTCTGGATAGGAAGATGCTACTGGTGTGGGATGTGATGAGCCTGCTGTTGAGCAGCAGAATATTGGAATAGGTGTTTTCTAGTCAAGCACTTAGCAACCTCCCTGCCAGCACATCTGGGTAAATACAGATTTCTTTAAGTGTTGTTTCTTAGTAATTCTTTTTCTTTTATAAAATTCTCAAGAGAGGGGAAACTTACATTACACACTCGCTGGAAAGTCTTCCTGGTCTATATTGGCACATGGTTTTTTGAGGGTAGTATTTCTAGGTAATCGTTAAAGGTAGTGCTCCATGAGAGTCATCCTTTGAGCCTTCTTATGGCTACAGCAGTGCTAAGGTAATGACTCCCGGAAATTCTCTCAAGGGTTCTGTCAGATTCTAGTGTTGGTCCCAAGAATAACTTGAAACTGGTGCTTCTTTAGATCTGAGTTTACAGAGTATTGTTGGAAATTGGAAGGAACTAGACACCACACTCTGGAGAAACTTACTGGCTGTGAAATCTCTGTAAACTACAGGAGGCTGGGGTTGGGGATTGCTAACTCTTGGGCACTTCTTAATGCTTAAAGTGCTTGCAAAATTAAAACAATATTTGGAGTCTTAGCACGGATTCTAACAATGAATGTAAACCCAGCAAGGAGCTAGGAAGTCTGGGATGATGCACACCGGCTGTTCCTGAGGCATTAGGTTTGGGTGTGCACAGAATCTTGCCCTGGTCTTAGGAAACCTCTCAAAGATTGGGGTGGGGGCGGTATCCTTTTCCTTCAGGGCACCTCCTCACCCTATTTGTTTCTGTGATACTTTGTTCTGTACGCTGCCCTCTGGTTCAGCTCTGCTTCAGTCTTGTTTAACGTCTCACACACTTGTTCTGTCATTTCCAATCTTATGCCTTCATATCCTCATCCTTGCCTAGCGCACCCCATCATGCCACCCTCACCACCACCACCACATTGATGCCATTTTCCCTGGATATGGAGAAGTCTGTTCCATCATCATGTGCATTGATTAATAGGGTGTTTTCCTTTCAGTTTTCGGTTGCCTGTGTGTTCCATCTTATTTTACTTAGAGTTTATTTAGCAAGCCGTAATTCTGTTTTCCTGTGGGTGCTTTTCCTAATGAACTGTTGTGGGTACATTTACAGGGATGAATTCATTTAACCCCATGTCTTTGGGGAACGTCCAGTTGCCACAAGCACCCATGGGACCTCGTACAGCCTCTCCAATGAACCACTCTGTACAGATCAACAGCATGGGCTCAGTGCCCGGGGTAAGTGCTTCTCTTTAGCTGTGCTGCAGATAGCCCTTCCTCTCACATGGAACATTGTCTAAGCAGCAGAATTCATGTCACTTGAGAATCCTGTGGTTCTTGTTCCTTTGAATTTGGGTTATGCTTTATTTCTTTCATCTCTTCTTTTTAGAAAAATCTTCATTACTACAATGAGAATTATTTGACTGTTAGTTATTTTATTGGAATAACAAATTTATGGGAATGTATGGCTTTGTGAGAATGTGGGAGTTCAAGGCTGGAGAAGGCAGCCTCAGATATATGGCCAGCAGGGAATTGTCAGCATCTGTTGACTGAGAGCTCTCTCTCCCGAGGCTGCTTTCTAAACACTTTAGAGAACTCATAGGCATGTCTTAAACTTTAAATTATAGCCTATTGATTTCTCTTCAGAGGACATTTTGAAGCTGGTTTATTTGAGAGATTGCCTGAGAAAGTGGGTAAAGTACCCAGAAGCCCAGGAGTTCTTAGCAAGTGGTGGCCTCTTCCCACAAGGAAGGGCGGGATTTCAGCCCTGTGCCTGGCATCCTCTGGGATTGTGAGGCCTTGGGTCTTTCTGGTCCATCTTGAAAACTCTGGCCACCAGCTTCTGAACTACAGCTCTGGTGGTGCTTGTTGTCTCGTAGATGGCCATTTCTCCTTCCCGAATGCCTCAGCCTCCGAACATGATGGGTGCGCACACCAACAACATGATGGCCCAGGCGCCCGCTCAGAGCCAGTTTCTGCCACAAAACCAGTTCCCGTCATCCAGCGGAGCAATGAGTGTGAACAGTGTGGGGATGAGCCAGCCGCCAGCCCAGACAGGCGTGTCACAGGTACCGTGCCCCACTGGGACCGTGGCTGCCAATATTCACATTGCCCCAGCTTTCTGTGACCTAAGCCTGTCTTCCTTCATCCAGAACACACATTTATCTTCTGTATATCAGTATCTTTTTCCCTCCTTTGTCCTGTAAGTCTTACCTTTTATGGAATTTCTCTTACTCTCTGTGGCTTAACTACATGCAAAAACGGAAATGGATTTAGATTTTTTTGGTTTGTGTGCTTTTGTGTTTGATCTTTGGGTTTTTTCTTATTTTTTATGTATTTCAAATTTTAAGTTTAACGTGACTCTGAGAGACGTTAGAATTTTATTTTTTTATTTTATTTTATTGGAGACGGAGTCTTGCTGTATTTCCCAGGCTGGAGTGCAGTGGTGCCGTCTCAGCTCACTGCAACCTCTGCCTCCCGGGTTCAAGAGATTGTCCTGCCTCAGCCTCCTGAATAACTGGGACTATAGGTGTACGCCACCATGCCCAGCTAATTTTTTATATTTTTAGTAGAGACAGGGTTTCACCATGTTGGTCAGGCTGGTCTTAAACTCCTGACCTCGTGATCTGCCCCCCTCAGCCTCCCAAAGTGCTGGGATTACACGTGTGAGCCACCATGCCCGGCCTGAGTCATTAGAATTTTAAAAAGGGAGTGAGAAGGACCCATGAATTCACTTTTGGAGATTTGGCTTTCGTATCGTCTCCACTGCCAGGTGAAGTCAAGCTAACAAAGTTATTTCAATAGATCTCTTCTTGTTGAATGTTTTTAATTTTTCAATCTAGAGCTGAAGAAAACAATTGTTCCTTTATTTGTTCCTCTTTTGTTGTAGTGCATATGATTGCTACTGTATACAAAATACACATGTGTTTAAAACAGACCAAATCCTCCCCAACAGATAAAATTCTTGTTTTAAGTGTGTGTGTGTGTTTGTTTGTTTGTTTTGACACAGGGTCTTGCTCTGTTGCCCAGGCTGGAGTGCAGTGGCACAATCCTGACTCTATAACCTCTGCTTCCTGGGTTCAAGCAATTATCCCACCTCAGCCTCTCAGGTAGCTGTCAGACGCGTGCCACCACACCCAGCTAATTTTTTTTTTTTTTAAATAGAGACAGGGTTTTACCATGTTGGCCATGCTGGCCTCGAATTCCTGACCTCAGGTGATCCACCCGCCTTAGCCTTCCAAAGTGCTGGGATTACAGGCATGAGCTACCATACCTGGCCTTGTTTTCCGTTTTTAATGTGAAGTAATGCTGAATAAGTCACTTTTACATATTTCCTCACTAATTATTCTTAATTTTCCATAACATCTCATTGCTCTAGAACAGGGATTAGCAAACTTCTTGTAAAAGGCCAGATACTAAATATCTTCAGCTTTGCAAGCCATTCAATTCAGTTTTGATTTTCATCATTTGCCTCTGTTCTTACAGTGCATAAGCTGCTGTGGTACATGAATGAGGTGACTGTGTGCCAATAAAATTTTATTTATAGAAACAAGCAGCCATTGGCTAGGCGTGGTGGCTCACACCTGTAATCCCAGCATTCTGGGAGGCTGAGGCGGGCAAATCACCTGAGGTCGGGAGCTCAAGACCACCCTGACCAACATAGTGAAACTCCGTCTTTTTAAAAAGAAAAAAAAAAAAAGAAAGAAACAAGCAGTTCTGTGTGTATGGCCCACAGGTGGAAGTTTGCCAACCCCTGCTCTAGAATAGTGATTCAGAATCATTTTTAAAAGGTCCACAAATAATTCTGAAGTGTCTCCACATTTGAAGTATCTGAAGTGTCTTTGGTAGAGACGGTGAAACACCATCTCTACCGAAAGCACAAAAATTCACCAGGTGTGGTAACTCACACCTGTAATCCCAGCATTTTGGGAGACTGAGGTGGGTGATCACCTGAGGAGTTCAGAAGAAGCAACTAACTTAAAAAAAAATCTTGACCGGCAGAGAGATCCAAGATGGCCGATTACTAGCCGCTCAGGATTATAGCTCCCAGTGAAAGTGCAGCGAACGAGAGGACACCACACTTTCAGACGAATTTTTGTTGCTCACGGACCTGAAGATTCCCAGCAGAGGAGCCCCACAGGTAGCCAGCGCCACTCTTGTGGCCGGCGCGGCAGTTCTCAGTGCAGAGTAAACGGGACTGGGCCCCCTTTTGGTCGACATTTGGAGCTCGGGGAAGGCAGAGTCGCCCATTCAGCTGATTGAAAAAGGGACTCAAGAGGGAAGCCAGACCAGAGATTCCTGGGCAGAAAAGCACCAAGAATCTTAAGGCCTCTCTTACACCAATAACAGACTTAAAGAGCGCCAAATCAAGAACAAACTTCCATTCACAATTGCCACAAAGAGAATAAAATACCTAGGAATACAACTAACAAGGAACGTAAAGGACCTCTTCAAGGAGAACTACAAGCCACTGCTCAACGAAATAAGAGAGGACACAAACAGGTGGAGAAACATTCCATGTTCATGGTTAGGAAGAATCAATATCGTGAAA